CACTACTTTCCTGTAAAATACAGGTCCAGACCACATATACAGGACTGTCTCAGAAAATTAGAATATTGTGATAAAGTTCTTTATTTTCTGTAATGCAATTAAAAAAACAAAAATGTCATACATTCTGGATTCATTACAAATCAACTGAAATATTGCAAGCCTTTTATTATTTTAATATTGCTGATTATGGCATACAGCTTAAGAAAACTCAAATATCCTATCTCTAAATATTAGAATATCATGAAAAAGTATACTAGTAGGGTGTTCAACGAATCACTTGAATCGTCTAATTAACTCGAAACACCTGCAAGGGTTTCCTGAGCCTTGAAAAACCCTCAGCTTGGTTCAGTAAACTAAATCACAAGTATGGGGAAGACTGCTTATCTGACTGCTGTCCAGAGGACCGTCATTGACACCCTCCATCAGGAGGGTAAGACACAAAAAGAAATTTCTCAAAGAGCAAGCTGTTCACAGAGGCAGTTTCAAAGCACATCCACAAAAAGTCTGTTGGAAGGGGGAAATGTGGCAGGAAACGCTGCACAACCAAGAGAGATGACCGCAGCCTTAACAGCATTGTGAAGAAGAGTCGCTTCCAGAATTTGGGGGAGCTTCAAAGACAGTGGACTGAAGCTGGAGTCCAGGTATCAAAAGTCACTGTTCACAGACGTGTCCGGGAAATGGGCTACAATAGCCGTATTCCCATGGTCAAGCCACTTCTGAACTCAAGACAACGGAAGAGGCGTCTGACTTGGGCTAAGGAAAAGAAGCACTGGACAGTTGCACAGTGGTCCAAAGTCCTCTTTTCAGACGAAAGCAAGTTTTGTATTTCATTTGGAAGTCAAGGCGCCAGAGTCTGGAGAAAGGCTGGAGAGGAGCAAAATCCAAGTTGCTTGAAATCCAGTTTGAAGTTCCCACAGTCAGCGATGGTTTGGGGAGCAAGCCAAGTTGCTTGAAATCCAGTTTGAAGTTCCCACAGTCAGCGATGGTTTGGGGAGCCATGTCAGCTGCTGGTGTTGGTCCACTGTGTTTCATCAAGCCCAGAGTAAATGCAGCTGTGTACCAAGAGATTTTAGAGCACTACATGCTTCCGTCTGCTGAAAAGCTCTATGGAGATGAGGAATTCATTTTCCAGCATTCTGGCACCTGCCCACAGTGCCAAAACCACCAGTAACTGGTGTACTGACCATGGCATTACTGTCCTCGATTGGCCTGCAAATTCCCCTGACCTGAACCCCATAGAGAATATGTGGGGTATTGTGAAGAAGAAGCTGAAAGACACCAGACCCAACAATGCTAATGAGCTAAAGGCCGCTATTGAAGCATCCTGGGCATCCATAACACCTCAGCAATGCCACAGGCTGATTGCCTCCATGCCACGCCGCATTGATGCAGTAATCCGTGCAAAAGGATTCCCAACCAAGTACTGAGTGCATTAATGGACATTTTCAAATGTTTGATTGTGTTTTGCTGTTATAAATCTTTTTTTTTTACTTGGTCTGAGGAACTATTCTAATTTTTTGAGATAGGATTTTTGAGTTTTCTTAAGCTGTATGCCATAATCGGCAATATTAAAATAATAAAAGGCTTGCAATATTTCAGTTGATTTGTAATGAATCCAGAATGTATGACATTTTTGTTTTTTTAATTGCATTACAGAAAATAAAGAACTTTATCACAATATTCTAATTTTCTGAGACAGTCCTGTACATTGGTAGATTGGACCCTATATCTGTTTAAATCAACTCTATTATCTTTATCCCCAGGTGTTCAACTTTGACCCAGGGGCGGCTGTCAAGCAGAGGACAGCGGAGGATGTGAAAGCAGATGAAGACGTCACCAAACTCTGCATTCACAAGAGGAAGCTTCTGGCTGTGGCCACGCTGCGCAAGAGCATGGGGACGCATCCCCCTCTGAGGCTCACCAGCCCAGGAGGAGGTACGAGTCAATCGGCTCATTTTAGTCCGAAACATTATTTTGTCCAAGGTGTTGTTTATTGATTTAACTGAAATATACTTTGTTTGGCTTGAAGGTACATCATCTGTGCTCGTTGCGCATTCCACATCTCAACGAGCAATAAGGACTAAGCTCCACGATGGCCTGCTCAACGCTGTCGGCCCAGACTGCAAGAATCCTTTCAAGATGATGATGGCGGCTGGACAGCAGCAGCAGCAGAGGCTGTATCTTCCCCAGGAGATGGGAGGAGCCCAGCAGCCAGAGCTCTACTCTGTGTACGCCCGGCCGCAGAGGCTGGGCAGTGGGGAGCCGGGCCCCAAATCCCCTTACCGGGTTGGGTATGGAGGCATGCTGAGCCCACCTCCCTCCAGTGTTAAGCTGTATGGAGATGGCTCACAGTCTCCGTGTGCAGACTCTTTGGGCAGCCCTGATGGTTTTCAGAGGACCAATCCTTGTGGCTTTCCAGGAGCCGGGAGTCCTGGCTCTGCCTCCATCCATGGAAACGCAAGGACGCCTCTTTCCCCACCCAGTGTAATGCTCCATGGCTCCCCTGCGGGCCAGCTCTCTTGCATCATGACAGGGAGGACTAGCACGCCCCTCTCCCCCACGGCCACTGCCAAAAGCCCTGTCATGAACATGAACATGCCCCGGGGAAACTTCCACCCTGGTATGGATATGCCCCGTGCAGCATTTCACCATAAAACACAGCCCCCTGTGCACCCCGTACAGCCTCCTCCATCCATACCACCATCCTGCGCCCTTCAGAAAAGGCAGTTGACCTTTGAAAAAGACCCATTAGGCATCCTAGACCCCATCCCCAGCAAGCAAGTCAGCAAGCCCCCCATCAATGCCCCACACCCCTCCAACTTCCAGCCTAACATCCACTCTCAGGTACAAATGATGAATGTAAACATACCCCCTCCCGCCATTGTTCCCTTGGCAAGCAACTTACCTTTACCTACAGTGAAGTCGGGGCCTGTGGGGCATGGCGGCCACGTTCAAAGGACTCAACAGGGTGGTCCGACTTCCTCCATGTCCCCCTCCCCGGTCACTTCCCCGGTCCATATGGCAGGACCTGCCCTTGGGAGAATGGAGGCCTCCCCTCATCGCTCACGCTCATCCTCCACCTCATCTGAACATGGGAGCTTTGCAATGCCCTCGGGGCACCAGGGCCCGTGTGGCAACATTAAGGCCCCCCCTCGTTCCCCCAGGTCCGCCATGGGATCTCCAAGGCCAGCCATGCCCTCCAGCCCCTCCACCAACAAAACTGATGCGCACCACCAGTACAAAGACTCCCAGATGCTGCCAGGCATGGGAAACTCCATATGCCCCCAGCAGCACAGCAACCCCATGTACTCACCCACCTCTTCTTCCTCGTCGTCCTCTTCTATGGCGACCCCTAGCGCTTCCCAGAAGGGCCATCCAGGACTCCTGGGGATGCCCCTCAACCAGATTCTCAACCAACAGAACGCCGCTTCCTTCCCCGCCAGCAGCCTCCTGTCAGCCGCAGCCAAAGCACAGCTAGCAAATCAAAACAAACTCAGCGCTGCCGGCAGCAGCCCTGCAGCTGGTGGTGGGGGGGCCGGTTTGGGGGCTGGTGGTAACGGTAATGGAGGAGGTGGCGGACACCCTGGCTCTACGAGCGGCCCTCGAGGCATGGAGGGACACAGCACTTTAAACTCAATGCTCCCGCCAAACTCCACCATGCTGCTCAAATCTCCCGAGGGCCAGAGCGGTCGGGCGGCTCTTAGAGACAAGCTCATGGCCCAGCAGAGGGACCCCATGCGCAAACGGAAGCAGTCATCAGGCAACACTGTCGTAAACCACGACACCAGTAACAACATGGTCTACAACATGCTTAACAAACGAGCCATGGTTGCACCCCACATGGCGGGGCCCAGTGCCACTGATCAGCTGCGAAAAGTGGGCAGACTGGGAAACCTTCCCCAAAACACCTCCATGGCCCAGCTGCTGCAGTCCATGAGCTGCCAGAGCTCTCACAACCATCGTCCAGGACTTAGCCCGGGCCCTCAAGGATCTGCACAGCTGCACTACAACGACAGCACAGGTCTGGTCCCCGCTGGCCCTCAGCAGAACCTCCTGGCTCAGCAGAGGTTGCGGGGTCCTGGAGACGCAATGCAGCACTGTCAGAACATGGACCCCTCTGGGGGCCATCTGGTCCCTCGTCCGAGCCAGTTCCCTGACATGATGGCCCAGATGCACGACGGAATGCCGCTAGGACGCCCTCACAATAACGCCCCCCCACTGTCCCATCCCGGCCCTCACCCCTCGCAGCAGACCCTCCTTCACAGTATGAGGCGGACTAACATGGTGATGCCGCACGAAGGGGGTGATGGAGGCTGTACGCAGAACATCTCTGATACAGGTGAGACATTTTATAATGCACTGTGCTCTATTCAGTAGTTAACCCACAATGTGTACAATTACTGCAAAATGTTTCAATTTTAGATTAGTTAAACTTACTAAAATAACATAGCGGAGGCTTATTATTATATTATGTATTGTCTCTATTTTGTACACGGGTCATATTTTGGATATTTGTATCTCATCCCTAAAATAGTTCCAGTTATTTAAATTAGGCCCGCCTGAATGATATGGCTGCAAGTCCTTTACATTGTTAATTAACATTCAGAATATTTTTCTTTTTTTATAGTTTGGTCTTCAAAATGACAACAAATGTTGTTAAGGGGCATTTCCATTTCCTCATAGGCCAAGGGGATATCTTAAAATGTCAGCCCAATATCAAAAGATATTCATTAAATAATTGCCAACTTTTCTCCTTGGTGGTTAATTTAATGATCCCACTATTTCGTGACAGTAGGGTGCTGTAGTCCAAACTGTCCTCTCGCTGTCTGGAGGGTGTTATAGGCTGGTTGGATGAAGATGTGGTTTCTATGGTTATGAGTGAACTAAAACCAAAGGATTTGTGTGATAGGCCCGGAGCCTGGACAGTGGGGCTCCTGCACTATCTCCGAGCTAATGAGCAGGCCCCTAATCTTTGGAGGCTCGGATAATTGTCAGTCAGCCAGTGTTTCTTTTTGTTTTATTTCTATGCGAGCATCAGTCAATGGTGTAAGAAGATGAAAATGGGATCTGGATCATGCTTTAAGGGAAACAGCCTAGATTGGGCACTCTAAAGAGCTAGCCGGTCGCTATAGTAACGATAGACCATGAATAGAGACCCGAGTGAAGCTTTTGATGAGGGTTTTGGCCTGTGTGTGTGTGTGTTTATGTGTGTCTGTCTATGACTACTTGAGGATTACAGTGTGTGTGCATATGAATGACTTTGTGTGTGTGTTTTTTTTGTGTGTGTCTGCTTGCATTCATGTGAGCGTTTCTTTTGAAAGCATCGCAAGGCCTAGATTTAGTCTGTTTTTCCTTGTCTGAGTTTATGTATTTGTTGTGCATCTGTGTCCACATGTATTTCTAATGGAGATAGCACCAAGGCAGGGGTGAAGGGCCAGTGGAATTGTGTTATCACTCCACCATTGTAACCACTGGCCCAAGAGCATTCGTCCAAAGAAATCGACTAATAATGAAGAAAATTAACACATTTGTTGCCATAGTAATTTATTAACAAACTACATTACTATTTGTACTACAACATTGGAATCATCAGTTCTTCCTCATTTTCCTCAATTGTTCATATTTGGTTTATTAAAATAATTGTATTGTGGTCATTGTTAAAACATTTCTGCTATTATCATTATTATGAGTATATTATTATTTGTATAATGCTGCTTTCTGCTTTTCAGCTCTTTTTTTTCCTACTCATTTTAATGGCTGGTTCATTTTGAAGTCTCACTGCTGAACTCAATATATTGTCTTGGTTGAAAACAACATGACTTTTTGTATGTAAATAATCAATCTAATGTTTGGTTTGCACCCTCTGCTCATGTATTGGTGCTTTGCTACCATTCGTAGGGCCTTAGCACCATTACCTTTTAGTGCCTCTGCAGCATTGATGTACCGTAATTTTCGGACTATAAGGCGCACCTGAATAAAAGCCGCAGCAGCTAAATTGAATGATGTGTACATATATAAGCCGCACTGGACTATAAGCCGCAGGTGTTTTAATGTTTAATTACCATATGTAAGGGTTCGTGCTCAGAGGGGATTGTCGGGAAAGAGATGGCTGTTTGAGGAAGCTCCCATTTATTAACATTTCAACAAACAAGTTGCATATTTGCATAACGTATTCAAGTGTCACCATTTAGTGCAATAGTAGCTACAGAACATGTACTGTGCTGTGTAAACTCTACTGTATCACATAGCGTTTCAGACACACAAACTTTTCAACTTTCAAACTTAAACGGTGCGCTCCCAGCGCACGTACCGGCAGTGATCTACAGCAGTGGTTTTCAACCAGTGGTACGGGGACAAACTGTCTCGCTCTCGTAATGTCTGTCTGTCTTGCTCTCGTTCTGTCTCTCGTACCACTCTCGGTTCCACTTTTACTTTTGCGCGCTACCTGTCTCACTCTTTTCCGGCCTCCAGCTTTTCCTGCTGGAACCCGCTGCTTAAAGTTGTGGGTCCGCGGACCGGCCATAGAGCCCATAGAGTTAAAGGTGGTGGCCGTTAGCTGTACAAATCCATAGATTAGCCGCGCCGTTATATAAGCCGCAGCGTCGAAAAATGGGAAAAAGGCGCGGCTTATAGTCCGAAAATTACGGTAAGTGCCTTACTCAACTGCTTATAGTGCGAAACCAAGTGTCCAAAACCCAAAGATATTGTGTTTGAATTCATGGAAGATACAACAAACAGCACACATAGAGTACTGATTAGCTGGAACCATTTATGTCTAAACAAGTTACATAATGCTGATTGTTATCCTGTCATTGGACTACTGTTGCAACTATTTGCTTAGTTTCTTATCATTTGGACTTTAAAACATTAGAAACAAGATTTAAAGGGCAAACAACATCCAATAAAACCCAAGGAGATCTTCTGTCGGAGTGACAATGCAAAACCTACAGATATTCATTTTATGTATGAAGAAAAGCTCTGAATATTTGCTAATATTCACATTTCAAAAAGCTGGAAGCAATAAAATACTTGGCATTTCTGCTTAAAAATGACTGTACCTATTATCAAAATATTTGCCTAATAATTTCTCTAGACACAGCACTCACCTGACCCCCGTCCCCTTATGTTCTCAATCTAATTCTTATAATCCTGTCTGGGCCCTTTTGCCACTCCAGGGTCCTAGTTGAACCTCCACCTCCTTCAGTGTGTTTGATTTCCCTTGTTACATCTCAGTTGTTGAAGTGTGTACATTGAGATATGATTGAGTTGTGAAGGGTCCATACTGAGCAGTGAGGGGGTTTCTGCTTCCTCTGCTGGGATGCTGAGGTTGAAACTGTATTAACAGACACGCAGCAGAGCAGATCTGACCCCCACGTGGCCCTTTTTTGGAAAAGAGCCTCCTTTCACTGTCTGACGCATGTTCAAAAGGGAGAGGTGAGGGGAATCACTCTCATATCCTGTCTCTGTGCTCGCTGAACCACAGAGGCTCGTGTTTATACACCCTCATATGACTAAGGCAGAGGAGAGACAGAGCAGAAAGAGGGAAGACAGACAGGCCAGGGGAGGCAAAATGTGTTTATTTTTTCGCTACATACTGTATGTAAAGGCAAGATTTGTGGGACAAGTGTGAAGGCAAGGAGGCTTCCTCCTGTGCTGTGTTTAGAGTTGGACATCGTCAGAGCTGCTGCCGTTTGTCTCTGAGTCTGACGGCAAACCAACTCCTCTAAAAGGCTTCAACACCTCAAAGACTGGATTACATTTCATGGAAAATGTCATAAGGTCACCCTGAAATAATAAAATACTAAACCATGGAAATAATTAATATAAAAGTGGGATGTAATGCTTACAAGTGAGATAACTTTGTTTCAATGTGTTGCTCTTTGCAAACAGATTATTACAAAGTAATAGAACAATATTTGAACAGCCTTTGCAAGTCAGTTGAACAACCATTTAAATGAAGTATGGCTCTGTTGGTTTCAAAGATGGATCTGAATGTTTGAAAGACTATGAGCTACTGGTGCTACCTTATCTGTTTACTCTGTGATCAATAAGAAGCTCAAGAGACCTGAGAAAACCTGTTGACCTCTGTAGATCTGACCCTTGACATGACTTGACCTATAGACGACCTCTTATGTGATAAGGACAAACAATAGAACAGTGTGTGAGGGCTGCACGATTTTGGGAAAAAATCT